TCCAAATTAGAGCCGGGATGCAAAGAATAATTGGCCGTTAAAGGGGCTGCGCATTTTTATGGCTTTGGTGCGGAATCGGCCCCCCTGTCGGGCTGTGCATCTGCTACTTTGTCATCGGCCCCTGAGCTCCGAAACTTGAGTGTACAGTTTATAACGCGTGCCTCATCTAGGGAGATCTCTAGTGTCGAGCGGCGTGGCAGACACTCTCTTTTGTGTTTTAGGTTTTAAAAAAAAAAAAAAAATTCAGCGTAGGCATTAAGTTTTACTGCCAGGTAGCACTCCAGACAATTATTTATCTCATTTAGTATGAAAATGAATGGGAAGGAGAGGTATTTATTATTGTCATTTAGGAGAAATTAGCACGCGTCTGCAATTGTTCACTGTTTGAAGTGTTAGAATTGTTAAAAATTGAAAAAATAAATTAAAAAAAAAAAAAAAAAGGTGTGAGCGTAATGGCGATGTGGGGCCCATTTTCCATCACTGACGGAAAGGCTACTTGCTGGTGGCTCTCCTCTCTCCCCCGTATATGTGTGCGCTTAATGAGAAACTCTCCTGTCTTCTGAAAAGGGGGGAGGGTCCTCAGCTTGCATACGGGACGCGCATGATGACTCATCAGCCAAAATACAGTTTTTGGATAATTTTTAAGACTGCTTACGCCAGCGGTCTTCAACCTAGGAGCCCCAACTGTGGGTTGTACGACGAGATAGAATAAGGACTTTCTGGTAGTCTGTACACCATGTTCCCTGACCCCCTGTTGGATTCCATTTTAGCACAGGCACATTCAGAGACCACCCTTTCCTGTCTCTTTCTTCCCACCTTTGGCACATCTGCTTCTACCAGTGGCTCCTCTAATGCTTCCTGTATTCTTGTGGCACGCTGCTCCCCCTCCCCACTGGTAAGGTCACAGCTTTGGCTTCTCCTCCTCCTCTTGTCGTGTAACCCTGATGTCACAACCAGTGTTCCCTCTAAGCTGAGTTAGTGTGAGCTAGCTCACAGTTTTCTAGCCTCCAGCTCACAGATTTTGGTCTTAGCTCAGGAAGGGTGGCTCCGGAGCAAACTAGTTTATGCAGCAGCCAGATTGCTCGCTCACAACTTTAATGCCCGTAGCTCACAAAGTTGACTTTTTGCTGACAAGACTCCACAGCTTTAGAGGGAGCATTGGTCACAACCATGGTTCCACAGGGCATTCGGATGTGTGCTTGCAACCCAGCGGGTCAGACTCTGCCACTGATGGTTGGAGGCGGGACCCACATCTAGAAATGGCCGAGACTGTAGTCAGTTGTTTGTGGTGGAGCTAAATTTAATCTTTCATTTATTTTTGTTTAAAACTAATCACGTTAAATGGGAGAGGCCAAAGCTCAGTGGTGCAGTTAGGGGGAATCCCTCGGAGACTCTGGGGCATGGAGGGGGGGGGGAGAAGACATTGGTGACACCAGTGCTGTAAGTTTTTGCCACTCTCTACGGCAAAGCCATCAAGTTCACCAAAGTCCTAGAGCATTGGTGATGTGACTTCTGGGATTTAGCCAAAAATGATGTTGACACATCGATGACATTTTCCCTGCTGCTCATTTGAGCAGCAGTAGCAGCCCAGAAGGTGGTGGTGGGAAATTGCCTGACCTAGAGGGTCAGTCGGCAACTCTATCTGGAACACCTGCTGATGTTTCCAGATTCAGTCCCCAACATCTCCAATTAAAAACTTCCTGATGGTCGGCTTGCCAGTTCCTATGGGCAATTCTAGGTTAGAACTGTCAGTGGTCTGATCAGAACAGAATAGCCTAATAGGGTCATAATTAGGCATGAGAGTATGCGAACATTTTTGTGCCTTTTTATTCCATAAATTGTTGTTTTTGTTGCTGTGGTTGACAATCCCTCCCTCCTCTTTTTTGTTGATATTTTAATGGCACGAATGCCCCATTTATATGTTTGTGCTTTTTTTGCCCAAACCTATGTAGTGAGTTTGCTGCTGAGATGAGGGACTTCTTCGTGCTATTATATGCATGGTTAGTGTGTGTGGCTGATTTCGCACCAGAGCTGCCTCGCTGTTGCGCCGCCGTTTGCCCCGGTTCTATGGGTCAATTTCACACCCGAAGCCGCACGGCTGATTTTGACCCGCGGCTTTGCCCGATTTCCTGCGCAGTTTCGTTGGTCCTCAAAAAACAGGATCACGAAACTGCGGGGGAAATCGGGCGAAGCCGCGGGTACAAATCAGACGTGGGGCTTCGGGTGTGAAATTGACCCATAGAACCGGGGGAAATGGCAGTGCAACAGCGAGGCAGCTCTAGTGCGAAATCAGTCTGTGTCTCTCAGGGGAAGAGAGAGCCAGTGTGTAGTAGAGGTTAGAATATTGGACTTGAACCTAAGACTGAGGTTGAAATCCCCACGCAGCAAATGAAGTTGGCCTTGACCTGGCCTATCTCTCAGCCTAACCTACCTCCCAGGGTTGTTGTGTTGGGAAAGTGGTGGAGGGGAGAATCATGTACATCACCCTGCGCTTCCTGGAGGAAGGGTTAAAAAAAAGCTGAGTGACCTTGGGTCGGTCACAGTTCTCTCAGAGCTGTTCTCTCAAGAGCAGTTGTTGGGAGAGCTCTCTCAGCCCCACCTGCCTCACAGGGAGTCTATTGTGGGCAGGGGAAGGGAAAGGACATGTAAGCCACTCTGAGACTCCAAGTGAAGTGTTTATATCTATTTCCGTTCAAGTGTTGCTCTGAAAACGTAACATGAAACCCAACGGACAAGCCAGGGCAGGCTTGGCCATGTGTTCTAGCTTTAAATTAAGCATTCCCTGTATCATTACCTCTCTTCATTTGTTTTTATTGGGGGTTTGCTCGGTAATATTTGTTTCACTCGCCCGCTTGATTAAGACGCCGGTTCTCAAATCTATCCTGGAGCAAGGATCCCAGCATCCATTAGGCGACACCAGCGAGGTCTCCCCCACTGCGTTGCTTGCCTGCCGGGAGAGTCATCCATTTATCTCGACATGCTTTTATAGAACCTAAAAAATGTACGAACCACCTCCGTCCTCTGGGGGGGGGGGGGGAAATAGACAACAACTTATATTTTAATGGAACCGTGTCAGAGGCTCGGAGATCCTCTGTGTGACCCAGTTAAGATATAAGAGATACAATCTCTTTAGCTAGCCAACTCGCTTGCTCACAACTTTAATGCCAGTCGCTCACAAAGTAGAATTTTTGCTCACAAGACTCCAGAGCTTAGAGGGAGCATTGGCAACAAGGTATAGATAGGAACTCTCAGGCTGGGGCAAGGGATGCTCTGTATTCTTGGTGCTTGGGGGAGGGGGCAATAGTGGGAGGGCTTCTAGTGTCCTGGCCCCACTGGTGGACCTCCTGAGGGCACCTGGTATTTCTGGCCACTGTGTGACACAGAGTGTTGGACCGGATGGGCCACTGGCCTGATCCAACATTGGCTTCTCTTATGTTCTTAACTAGATTGAAGGTGTAGAGCCAAAGGTATAGAAAAGGTTGACCAAAAATGATGGAATAACTGGAACACATTTCTCTAAGAATTTGGGGGAACTTTCATTTAAAAAAAAGACAGAGAGGGAATGTGACAGAGGTTTATAAAATTGTGCAAGGAAACTGCAGGACTGTGGAATGAAAACAGATGAAAGGAAATCCTTCTTCATATCACCTTCGCTGTGTACTTTCCAACTGGATTTTACAGTGTGAGCTGGCTGAATCCAGTTGGAAAGTGCATTGGAAATGGAATATTCAGTGTGCGTGACCGCAGCCCTTGTGATATACACTGACACAAGATCGTTGATGGGTTTTTGAAGGAGATTAGACAACGTCCTGCAGGGGATGGGTCCACCAACAGCAAGATGGGGCAGTGACTCACTGAATCCCAGTGTTGAGGAGCAATAACAGGATGTCTCTGTGCCTCGCCTGTAGATATATTTGGTTGAACACTGTGGGAAACAGCATTCTGGGCCTCGTGGTTCCCTGGTCTTATCCAGCAGGCCTTGTTACAAACATCTTCACACCACCTCTCCAGACATGCTCAGTGTTCTTGTACGTCCCCTTCTTCGTCCCACCTACCGCTGGGACCTCCAGATTCCAATTGTTCCCACTGAGAACTTTGGAAGACTACATTTCCCAAGGTTCCTGATGCCAAGGACTTTGGAGGATTGCATTCCCCAAGGTTCCTGATGATTGAGTCACTGCCATAGCAGCATTTAAGACAGTGGAGAGGGGAGGGAAGCCCAGTAATGGAGGCTGAGGTCCGATTAGGGATGCCAGCCTCCAGGTGGGACCTGGAGATCCCCTGGAATTATGGCTCATGTCCAGGCTACAGAGATCAGTTCCCCTTGAAAAAAAATGGATGCTTTGAAGGGTGGACTCTGTGGCTTTCTGTCCCACTGAGGTCCCTCTCCTCCTCAGGCTCCCTTTCCAAATTTCCGGGAGTTTCCCAACCTGGATCTGGTGACCTTAATCCCCATCCCCCACGAGTGGCAAGGGGAGACGTAGCAACCCATCCTCCCTCTAAGCCTTGGAGTCTCGTGAGCAAAAACTCTACTTTGTGAGCGACTGGCATTAAAGTTGTGAGCGAGCAGATTTGGCTGCGGCATAAATCTGTTTGCTCTGGAGCCCGTCCTCCCTGAGCGGAGACAGAAATGTGTGAGCCGGAGGCTAAGAAACTGTGAGCGAGCTCACATTAACTCAGCCTAGAGGGAACACTGGTGGCCACCCTAGGTCTTACGGAGGGGGCGAGTCAGAAGTTCAATCATGCGTCTCCCCCCAAAGAAAAGCCACCCGGTCTGTGTACATAGTGCATGTGTAAGGCACCAAAAGCGTTCACTGCAGTAAGTGGTGGAACGGGGAGGGGGGGTCCTTCTGATGAATTGGGGACTGCAGGCCTTGGTTTGATATTATGTTACTGCTTCTTGTAGGAACAAATGCTCCCAAAGAATGGGATTTTTTGATGGCCCGTCTTTTTGTAACTAATTGATGTGTTTCCGATCTCTCTCTCTCTCTTTCTCTCAGTGCCGGGTTTCCCTTATCCTGCCGCGACCGCAGCCGCTGCATACAGAGGTGCCCACCTAAGAGGCAGGGGACGTACTGTCTACAACACGTTTCGAGCGGCGGCTCCTCCTCCCCCGATTCCAGCTTACGGCGGGTAAGTGGCTCGGGGCCTCGCGGGCTCCTCACTCGGCGTTCTCCACTTCCTCCACTTCCTCCCCGCCCCCACCAAAGCAATCAAGCATTTGTGAATGCCATGCATGATGATCTTGTCTCGCCACACCAAGCCACACGCAGCATGCAACCAATCTCAGTTGCCTGAAGTGGAGCACCTTGCGCACGGAATTGACAAATGATAGTAATTTGCACTGTCATGGTTGGTGGCTTTAAGCATTTTGTGCGTCCCATGTTGTTATGTAAATTCCCCTTGAGAAGGAACGCTGGAGAGAGAAAAAAGAGAGAGAGAGAGAGAGAGAAACTCGTAGAGGTAAAGATGTATTTTTGGAGGAATTGCAAACATCTGGTTATCGAGGGAGTCAAATAAATCTTCTAAATCTTCCTCTTCCCAAAAAAAAATCAACAAAAATGAAAGTTGTCTCGTCACCCCTCCTAAGGGGGTTTATTTATTATTCCTATTAGTACGACTACTTGAAAAATGGTTGGAAAAGAAAGGGATATCTCTGCCTAGTCTGTATCTGAACACCCAGTTTGGTGTAGTGGTTGAGAGTGGCAGGACTCTAATCTGGGAGAACCGGGTTTGATTCCTGACCCCTCCACACGCAGCTACCGGTGTGACCTTGAGTCAGTCACAAGTTCTCTCAGAGCTGTTCTCTCAAGAGCAGTCCTCGAAAGAGCTCTCTCAGCCCCACCTACCTCACACAGGATGTTTGTTGTGGGGAAGGGAAGGGAAAGGAGATTGTAAGACTGGTCTGAGACTCTGAGTGAAGGACGGGATATGACTCCTCCTCCTCCTCCTCTGGGATTCCTTTGTACAAGAGCCTTCCTGGCCACCTGAGTTTTGCCTCGACTACCACAAAGGTCCAAAATGTAGCCCGCTTAAACAGCTGCCATTTGTTCCTAGTGGTGGAGGAGGAAACCAAATCCTCTTCCGGCACCAGGCCTGCAGCCAGAATTTTTGTTTGTTTGTTTGGGAGAGGCATTTAAATTTTTAAGGGAGCAGTTAAATTGCAGATAATTAAATTAATCTGAATGCTTGTCTTTAAAGGAGGAGGCTCTGAGTCAGTTTCTAGCTTTTCCTTTCAAGGAACAGGGCAGTAGGGGGGGGAACCAGCTCAGAGAGCATTTAATTGCCTTTCGAGTTCCCTTCCATGGCGCAAGTCAGCTTAGAGGCACTCAGGATTGGTACGTTCGGTGAATCTCCAGCAATTCCCCTTTCTGCGAGCCTACTCCTGCTGTATACCACCTAGGTCACAGTGAGTCTTTCAAAATAATTCCCATGAGCCTCTGGGAAACATGCAAATTAAGGTTTCTGGCATGGGTATTTGTAGGGCTGGCCTGTTGATTAAGGGGCGGGCCCCCAAAATGCCCCACTGTACCCACGGGCCTGTCCGGCACCCGGTGATCCTTTTGGGGATCAGCCAAACCCATCCCTGTGGGCGTAGCCCCTGCTCCTCATATGCCTAGTGACACACACACACACAAATTCAGCAGCTACGCTGTTTCAGAAGGTGGAGAGGGTTTACTCACACCTGTAAAATTGATCGTGGCAGTGTCAGTCATCTGTACCTTGATTACTCCTTTGTATGAACACTGGCTGTCACAGATCCACTGTACTGGGGGCCAACTTTACCTGTAGGCAACTCAGCTGCCCAGAGATCAGAATACTGAAAAGGATTTTTATGGTAGCAGCGGAAAGTTCTATCAAGTCGTAGCTGACCGAGGGTGACCTCATAGGGTTTTCGAGATAAAAGGCGTTCAAAGACGATTTGCCATTGCCTGGCTCTGTGTAGCGATGTAGCAACCCTGGCCTTCCTCGGAGGCCTCCCATCCAAGTCCTAACCGGGCCTGACCCTGCTTTGCTTCTGAGATCTGACAGGATCGGCCTAGCCTGGGCCACACCCAATGTTCCCTCTAAGCTGTGGAATCCTGTGAGCAAAAATTCTACTTTGTGAGCTACTGGCATTCAAGTTGTGAGCGAGCCATTTGGCTGCTGCATGGATTAGTTTGCTCTGGAGCCCTCCTTCCTGAGCCAAGACAAAAATGTGTGAGCTGGAGGCTAAAAAACTGTGAGCTGGCTCACACGAACTCAGCTTAGAGGGGAACACTGGCCACACCCCATGCTTCCCCCCGGCCCCATTAAGTTCTGCATATCACACTGGGGCAGGAGACTTTTTATTTTTACTTCCGTCATTAAGAAAATGTATCTATACCTATTTTGCAGAACTGAATTTGACAAGCAGACCGTAGGGAGCAGATAGAGAGCGCCCCGGAATCTCAGTTTCTACCACCGCTCCATTTAGAAATCTTCCTTAGCCCTTCTCTGGTTGATGGGATCTCACTGGGCATTGTCCCCCGTTTCTGTTTATCATCCTGAGAACTAGAGAAAGAGATGGTTTTTTATTGATTTGGGGAATTAAACTTTCCCGAGGACTGATCCTTAACACTTCGGTTGGGGGGAAAAATACTGCGGTAGTCATCACACAAGATATGGGAAAGCTATTTTAACAAATGGAGAACAGATGTAAGATTACTATACAGAGGAAGCAATATTTGATAGAATGTGGGGAACAGTTGCGGAATATAATTACACCGTATACAATATGTTGCTTTCTGAACGATCACATTCCATCACTGGATGTTATTATTTTGTTGTGTTGGGGGTTTTTTTCCCCCTTCCCGTTGTAATTTTTTTTCTCTCCTGTTGGCAAAATAAAAAGTCAAGATCACTACTGGTTTAGGACAGCCTCGTTTTACAGCTGGCATTAAGAATGATTATGCTAGCAAAATGGTGCTTGGGATGAGGTGTACGGAGTGGAGTGGATGTTTATAAAAATGCATATTGTGCAAGCTTTTATGCAGATAATATCAGTGCATAAGTTTAGGGCTGGGCACATCTGTAGCGGGACTGGGGGTGGCGGCGGAACAAATATTTCTGGAATCATCTGTAATCACATCCCCAAGATCTGTACATTTAAATGTGCCTCCCTCCCCCCACCCCAGCACCTTCATGCTGACGTGGGTGGGAAAGGCATTGATAAAAGGCAAGGCGTTATTCCAGTAGTGTGATAAACCTGTGGTTTATAAACCATAAAATGATCCAAGTCCGGTTTGTTATCATCTCTGAATGCAGACAGCTAACGAAGTGGGATTTGTTGACTGGGAGTAAACTGGTCTTTCAAAGTAAAGTTTGTAGCTGGTTGGTTGGTTGACTGCAGTTTGCATTAACTTTGGTTCGCTTGTGACATACGAATTCACACACTGCAGTACGTGGCATACCATAGCCCCAATGCAGAGTTGGTGGTTTGGGGAGAATGCACTCCATGCTGGGAGGTGGAGAAGAGACATGTCACAGCAGTTTTGAGAGCTGATGTCAGCAACTTGCAAAATGATCAAAGGCGCACCACCGCAGGGAACTGTTTGGCTGCTGCCGTGGAAGTTTACTGTGAGCAAACACTTCCATGTAAGGAGACACAGACTGATTTCCCACAAGCAGCTGCACCGCCCACACTCTTCCATTCCCCTGACTGTATTCGTCAATTTTCCACTACTTGCTGCGCGGCCGCATTTTGACCCACAGCATCCCCTGATTTTCCCAACATCTTCTCAATCTCAAAAAACAAGGATCTAGAAGACGCGGGGGAAATAGGGGGATGCTGCGGGTCAAAATGCAGCCGTGCAGCAATTAGGGGGAATCTGACAAATACAATCGGGGAAAAGGAAAGAGCGAGGGTGGTGCAGCTGTTTGTGGGAAATCGGTCACAGTTACAAGCTGGCCCCCAACCCCTGTGAGTATGTATAATATTTATTTATTTATTTATTGCATTTATACCCCGCCCTCCCCGATGGGCTCAGGGCGGCTTACAGGGGCAAACCCATAAGCCAAACTCATGAAAAATTCAGCTCTGCCATAGTTTATCTTAAAATAGATACCCTTCCATTTGATTAAGGTGGCTTATGAGAGAGAACCACTGTGGTGTAGGGGTTAGAATGTTGGACTTGGAGTGGGAAGAGACACATTCAAATCTCCTTTCAACCATGAATCTCTCTCAGGGAGCTTGGGCCCCTCATTTCCTCTCTGCCTAACCTACCTCACTGGTTGTTGTTGGAACAACACGACGGAGAGAAGATTGATGCTTTTACCCCATACAGCTCTCTGAAGGAAGGGCAGGATTGAAGTGACGTTGGTTAAAATACTATAAAATATGATTTCCAATGGAACCTCATGGTGGTGGAGCAGCGAGCAGAGGCGCTAGGGTCATGTGATGCTGCCTGTAATTATGACGATTTTCATAATTAACAAGCATGGCCAGTTATTCCGGTCTTTGTCAGGCATGGTTTCTCCTCACTCAGATTAAGGAAGTTGATCTTCTGGTGATGGGCCTCAGACTGTGCTCATAAAATGGTCCAACGATCTGCCGTTTGAAGGAATCTGTTTAGCGTAGTATGTGGCTAGCATAGATCCCACAGTCTTTAATTTCGGCACACTTTATGGGCATATCCTCATGCGGGAATGTGAAGGGATGAGCCGTCCAAGCACAGGAGTGATAGAATAATTGACCTATTTTGTTCTCCTCGCACTTTCTGTTTCTAAAGCACAACCTACAGCAACCCAATATATGGAGCAAGAAGCTCATCTCCCAAAGAGGCCATGATCCATGTTGCTTTGTAGTTCTGAAAGAGAATTCTGCAGAATGATTTCTAGAGGGTATTAAAAGGAAATGCCAGTCACTGTTTTCACACACCTCTTTCAGAATCTGAGGTACTGACATTTGTCAGGTATCACCACCAATGGATACAGCCATCACATCGAATGGGTCGACCTTCTCTACTCGCTGGGAACCCTTTCACACATATTTGTTTGCTGAATAACGTCTGTGCGTGGTAGAACAATCTCAGGCATCTTTTATTCATAATGGGCCCAGCGAGTACTACTGGGACTAGGGCTGCCAAGCCGTGGCGGGGGATCCGTGCGTCTTCACAGGATCCCTGCCGCGGGGGACAGCGATAGGCGTTGCACCGCCGTCGCCAGGATGTGACGCTATGCGTCACTCTGGTGGGACCAGCTATCACCCAGGCTGAAAAAAATACAGGGTTTAAGTCTTAGAATGTATCCAAAGCTCCCTTGTAGCTCTGTGTTGCAGAGAATGAAAATCACGTGGCTTTTGAGACAGCCACTGCCATCAAAGAGCTAAGATCCTAGGAAGCTGCAAGGTAGGGGTGTGCATTCGGATTTACCTGAGCCAAAGTTAACCCAAAAAAACAACAACACAACCTTATCAGTATTTTGGGGTATATTTCAGCATTCCAAATCTATCCGGGTGTTCTTGAGAAAACTGGGGGGGGGGGGGAATCCCAGATATATTGGGGAATTACCAGGCAGATCCGAAAACAGTGGAGAGGCAGTAGCAAATTGCTCCCGCCTTTCAGCTGTTTGCAGGGCTTCCACTGCAGTCCCTTTAAGGTTTAAAGGGACTGCAGAAGACAGGCCAAGGATCATCTGTTCAGGGGGAGGAGATTGTTCCCGCTGGCAGCCAGCAGCTCGGTTTAAACTGAAATGCAGGAGCAGCCAAGCCAGCCCCAGGACTGGGCTGGCTTTTTTTTTTAACCAGTATTTTTCTTCTTGGGTCTATTGGACCCCCCCTCCCCAAAAAATCGGGATTTCTGAAAAATCCCAGATTTGAATACTGTACTGGTATCGGGATCCAGGATTTTTTTGAAATCTTGAAATTTTGGGGGGTTCAATAGACCTGAACTGAAAAATACCAGTTTAAAAAAAATGCACACCCCCTACTCTAAGGTTGTCGAGGCAACAGCTTGAGTATCTTGGCAAAGTTATCAACTGTGAGTTGAGTTTGTGATTTGGCTATAGGTGGGGCACCTTAAGAAGGATGTTGTAGACAAAGGGAATTAGATAAGCATATGGAGCAGAAGTCCATCAGTGGCTGTTAGCCACATGACCATGGAAATGTCTTCGGACAGCGCTGGCTCTTCGGCTTGGAAACGGAGATGAGCACCGCAACCCTAGAGTCGGATTTGACTGGCTTTCGAGCAAGGGAACCTTTACCTTTTTTTTTTAATAGATAGGAACTCTCAGGCTGGGGCAAGTGATGCTCTGTATTCTTGGTGCTTTTGGGGAGGGGCAACAGTGGGAGGGCTTCTAGTGTCCTCTGGCCCCACTGCTGGACCTCCTGACGGCACCTGGCGTTTTTGGCCACTGTGTGACAGAGTGTTGGACTGGAGGGGCCATTGGCCTGATCCAACAATGGCTTGTCTTATGTTCTTAAATGAGGACAGATTTGGAGGAGGCTAGCAAGGATGGTCAGGGGGTGGTCTGAAAAACATGTACAATGGAAGGGTGAAGGAACTGAGTATATTTAGCCTAGAGAAGATTCTCACGGAAGAGGGCAAAGGCTGAATTTAATGGACTTAAGTTACAGGAGAGTCGATTTCACAAGAAAGTTAACTTCCAGTGGTCAAGGCAGTTTGATAGTTGAACCAATTTCATAGCCATAGGGAGGGCTGTTCAAGCAGATTCTGAATAGCCATCCATTGGGAATGTCCTAGCTTTGTGTTACCTCTATTGACCATGGGGTTGGACTTCCAGCTCTAGGATTCAAACAGCTTAACATCTGTCTTTGCACTGGCTTAGCATGACAAACTTCAGCAGCATCAGGGCTGGTCCTCATACAGTGATATTAGCACAACCCTCGTCCCCATGCCTAAAAACCAGATCGATGCGTTGCCTGAATGACGGTGTATGCTGCTAGCTCCGAAGCAGGTGCAGTCTGCAGAGTAATTGCGAGCAAATGTTGTTGCCTGTTTCTGAACTAATCTGTCCTGTACAGGAGATTCAGGGTTGCACGTCAGTAGGGGATGGCCCCAGCTTTCCTCATCAAAGGGAAGAACCATTTTGATCTCCTAACCCCCTTACCCGATGTGAACGGTGCCCCACCCCAAATATATATACACACCTATATATTTCAGTTTGGTTTCCCCCTTGTTCTGTTCTTGTCATGAGACTAACCTCGAGCGTTCAGGGGTTGGTGGCGTTTGCATGTGGAAATGCACTAATATGAATGTTTCTCTTTGTGTGTGCATCCTTGCAGTGTTGTTTACCAGGATGGATTTTATGGTGCAGACATTTATGTAAGTATTCATCAATGTGCATGCTGTCCATGGTACATTGCCGGCGCCATTTGTTTACTTCCTTATTTTTTGTGCGTTTGCGGCATAAGCTTGACTTTGTTCGTCCATGCTGCCATCTCTGGAACATCCAAAACAAACAAACAAACAAACAAACAAAAGCAACCCAAATGTGGATGATTATCTTTTGGAACCTCGTTGTATCCATCGCATTTGTCATCATTTGGCTGGATTCACTCATCAGTGGCCTCTCAAGTGGCACGGAAGATGTATCTGCGACTGGGGTGGCCACCTTCTTCTCTCGCCGGCACCTTGTGGCGAGAGAAGCCTGCTGTGCGGAAATTAAGCAAGACCCTCCGTCTCTGAGTGCCGTGTCTGGGAAAATAGTCTCTCTTGCTAAATTTCAGCATCTCTAGGCTCAAACAGGCAAGAAGATTGGGTGCTGCGGTCTGTTGTGTACTGCCAATTTACCTTGGGACTGTGCAGATAAGGCAGAAAGAGCTTAACGTTTCGATCTCCACTCAGCGTCACCATTCCAACCTGTTACTAGCATTTTAAAGGAGGGATGATTTGTTTTTAAGGATGTGTATTAATTCCCCCCCCCTTTCAAATGCTCATCAGCAGAGGGGAGAGCCAGTTTCAAATAGTGAATCTGAGTGAAGGCAGAAGAGTTAACTCCCCTTTTACTTCTCTGCATGTCCCCGAGGCAAACTGAGGCTGCACACGTCTGTGATTTGCATTTTATGAACACAGGATCTGCATCTCATCTGTCTGAGCCCTCAGATGGCCAAGAAAAGCTCAGAGGCAACCTTGCCTCAGCCTCATTTCCTCGCTGCTGTTTGCCGTTGGGGATCAACAAGGGGACAAGGGAACTTGCGCGGACCTTGTCTTCTGTATGTCTTGCACCCTCTCCCGGATCCAGATTCATGCTCTCAGCAGACCTGCGTACAGCTGCCAATGAAAAATGTGGGCGTCTGTAACCTGCCACTGAAATCTGGGCATCCAAATGCCCTGTGTTCTCTCAATCCTCACTCACCAACCAAAGATGCTGTGATGTAAAGCCAACCTCTGGGGGCCACACAAAGGCATTTTCAGCAGCAACTTCTCTGGCAGGCTGCCTTCTCTTGTACACAACCCCATGACCAAAACATTTAGCAACCCAACATCTGCCACATGGGTGGAATACTAGGGGTTAATTAATTATCATATGGCATTGTGTGTGGTATGGCTAGAGATCTGAAGATTGTCTGGCAGCCTGAAGTTCTAACTCTTTTAGCGTTGGTGAGCTAGACTTATTGGGGGGGGGAGGCTGAGAGAGCACTGAGAGAACTGTGACTGACCCAAGGTCATCTAGCTGGCTTCATGTAGAGGAGTGCGGAATCGAACCAGGTTCTCCAGATTCGAGTCTGCCACTCTTAACCACCACACCACACTGGCTCTCATACTAGGGGTAGAAGGAGAAGGCAGGCACCACAGATACAATGAATCCACCCCTCTCAATCAGTGTGCCCTCTAAGCTGAGTTAATGTGAGCTAGCTCATAGTTTTTTAGCCTCCGGCTCACACATTTTTGTCTTCGCTCCCAAAGGATGGGCTCCAGAGCAAACTAATTTACGCAGTAGCCAAATGGCTCGCTCACGATTTTAATGCCAGCAGCTCAGAAAGCAGAATTTTTGCTCACAAGACTCCACAACTAAGAGGGAGCATTGCTCTCCATCTACCACAAACCAGACAAGTACAGTGTGGCACAGCACAATACAGGAATCTTGATGCCAGTGAGTGGTTAAACAAGACCCCGAGATGACATCTACTAGCTAAGCCAGGCCTACCCCTTAAAACAGGCCGTCCGTCTCCCCGCTGTGATCGCTACCACCTCAACTTTTAAATAGGAAGGTGAGGACAACTCATTCAACTCTAGCCATTAAAAGGTGCCAAAGAAGCACGCAGGTTGCTTTTATAGAGAGTCCAAAATGCCAAGATTGAGAAGTAAGTAGTTTAGTAAGAAATAAGAGTGTGGCACACACAGGGGTATTTTTGGGCAGGAACGCACAGGAACGGAGTTCCGGCTGGCTCCCAAGTTGGCCACGCCCAGCAGGAACTCATTAGCATAACAGGCCACACCCAACAGCAGAAACTCATTAGGATTGGCTACATTAGGGGTGTGTGGCCTAACATGCAAAGGAGTTCCTGCTACAAAAAAAAGCCCTGCGTTTTGACCACAAACAAGGTCAACAGAATAAGAAGCAAAAGGTGGGCGTGGCTGGATGACCACACTTCTGGTAAAATCGGGGTGTGGCATAATATGCTAATGAGCTGTGCTGTTAGGGCTGTAGTCTAATATGCTAATGAGTTTCTGCTGTTGGGTGTGGCCTATTATGCTAATGAGTTCCTGCTGGGCTTTTTCTACAAAAAAAGCCCTGGACACACATGTAGGCAGAGAGGAAAGGCATGGCTGGATATTCAAAAAGTCAAAGGTATTCCTTATAGTAGCTGAATCAGGCATCACTAGGGCATTTACAAGAAAAAGCAGAAAGCAGAAAACTGACACAACTGGCAAAAAAAAAAAAGAGAGCACAAACAGAATCAAAACTTCGACACGGTTTGGTGTCAGCGACCATGAAACACAACCTGTTGCTCAGTCATACAACCAATGTGGGAAAGTTCAGGATGCTAATCACAGAGCATAAGGGTACTGGGAGGTATCTCTACCTCAACCCTCTGTGAATGTACAAGCATCAGACTGATTCATGATACATTATCAGCTTGAGGTGATCTGGCAGGAAAATACGTTCTTTCCAGCAAAAATTACCCTGTCAGTTAACCCGGGGAAGGAACTGTAGGTTGCCTTTGAGGTTGTGAGACGCAGGTTTCAGACAGAGAGGGAAGGCTTTTTCGGCCTAGCCTTAAGGTGGAGCTTTGAAGTAACTTGACCAAACAACCTTGTTGTTCAGTTTCATGCCACTCCTAAAAATAGAGGTAATTAAACAGATTCCTGTTATCCACCAGTGTGTAGCCTAATTGCGTTGCCGTTGCATCAGCAGCATCGAGATACTAAGAGATTTTGGGGGGAGCAATCAGGTGTTTACGGGGCATAGGTCCATCTGTGGCTCTTAGTTCATGGAGCAGCAGGCCTATCTACTGCCAGGATGGCTAAGTGGAACCTCCATGTTTAGAGACAATCTGTCTCTGAATATCAGGGGGCAACACCAGGGCAAGATTTTGGTTTCTGTACCTCTGCTTGTGGGCCTTCTGGGGTTACCTGGTTGGCCACTGTGGGAAATCAAAAAGGCCTTCACCCACAAAGCTCCTTTGTAGTCCTGCACTTGGAATTTGATTTTTTAAAAAGCCACGCCACTCCTAAAAATAGAGGTAATTAAACAGATTCCCGTTATCCACCAGTCTGTAGCCTAATTGCGTTGCCGTTGCATCAGCAGCATCGAGATACTAAGAGATTGATTACATTAAATTGGTACGAACATTAAAAATTCATTAAGTCGTACTTTGGGGGAGGGGGGAATCCCATGATTTTTATTTATTACCAATGATCCTATCAAGACATTTAGAATAAAATCATTTACATTTTCAGATGACAGGGAAAGAGCCTCAACTTTTAGGGGTTAAAAAAAAAGGCTAGTATTTTTTTCCTGTGAAAAGGAGCTGCGATTGTATGTGCATTTTTCGGTGACACAGACTGTACCTTCAGTGGTTCTCAGGGTTTGGAACTGCCACTGAGAACTGCTGTATAAAGCAACAATCAAAGGTTTAGGGAAGGAAGTTGATCATCACGATAATGGGGAGTGTGCTATTGTCACCTCTGGCCACCTCATGGATTGCCCTGCCTGAATATCCCAGAAGTGAATGATTACAGTAGTTTAATAGCCAATTGAGGTGTGGATCCCTAAGTAAGATAGATAAGGCATCTTGTACCCATTCCTATATCATCCCCAAATTTTGTCTGCAGTGAAGATGGAAGCAGAAATGTTTCCCAAGGGGAAGGGTTCCACCTTGAAGGAAAAGTCTCTGAAATTGGGAGGGAGGTCAAAAGAAGTGCCTTAGAACTAGAGAGCTGGAAGGGGCCATACAGGCCACCTACTCCAACCCTCTGCTCAGTGCAGGATCAGTCTGACAAGCGTTCATCCAGCCACTCCCTGAAGACTGCCAGTGAGGGGGATCAGACCACGGGGTCCTTCTGTTCCCGTACCCAAGCAGTTGCCCCCAGGAAATCTCTAGTCAGAGCAAAGAGGGATGCAGATTCCCCTAAGTGTTGCTTGGATATTCTAACAAATTGACAGTTCCAGATGGGCAGCCATGTTGTTCTGAAGCAGTAGAACCAATTTAGAGTCCATTGGCACCTTTAAGACCAACAAAGGTTTATTCAAGGTATGAGCTTTAGTGGGCATGCACGCTTTTAAAAAAGTGTATTCGTTTTTCATGCATGCACACAAAAGCTCATACCTTGAATAAACCTTTGTTGGTCTTAAAGGTGCCACTGGACTCCAAATTTGTTCTAATAAACGGACACTATGTGTTGCCATTCAATGCTGTGTATCTGAGGTGAGGAAATAGAAAACCAAATAATACTAGGATGCATGGTGTTGCAGAGGGGTTTTTTTTGTTTTGTTTTTAAGAGGCGCCAGAATTCACAAGAGGGAAATGAATTTTTCAATCTGTATACTGAAAACGCATGGCATTTAAAATATTTTTAAAATAATTTTGTCAAAGAGGTTCCGGAACTCCGTTCCGGCACATTCCCCCAGGGAAAAAAAAGCCCTGTTGTATCCATTATGGAATGATGTTTTCTACACAGCTTTTGGGTGGCATTATTAACCAGGGCTCTTTTTGTAGAAAAAGCCCAGCAGGAACTAATTAGCATAATAGGCGACACCCAACAGCAGAAACCTATTAGCATATTAGGCCACACCTCTGACAGCACAGCTCATTGGCGTATTAGGCCACACCCCACGTTACCAAAAGTGTGGTCATCCAACCACACCCACCTTTTGC